GTTCCATTCATCTACTTAGTTTTTTTGAGGCCTTTTCTTTACCATGAGAGGATATTCAGAGCTGTCAAGTGTTTTTTCTGTATCTATGATGTATTGTATTAATTTTTCATTCACTCACGTAGTACATTTCATTTACTTGTGTGTGTAGAACTATCCTTACATCCCAGAGATGTCCTGATTACTCATGGTGAAATCCATTTATTTTGCACTTAAGTGTGAACATATTTTGTCAAACTTGTTGATAGCAATGTTCATCAGATATATTGGCCTGTAATTTCCTTTTCTCATGGTGTCCTTCTCTGCCCTTTTTATTTTAAAAGTCAGGCAATATAGTCCTTCTAAAGTGAATTGGGAAGTATTCCCTGTCTTCATGTTTTGGAGATATTGAGAATTATATTTTTATCTTGTCTTTTAATATTTTGCAGAATTCAATAGTAAAGCCATCTGTTTCTGGGATTTTCTTTATGGGAGATATTATACTTTTATAGATTTATCTTATTTTTTGAATTTACATACATTTCATAAATAAAACTTTAGTAATATAGTAATTCTTTCCACCCTACCCACCATCCCACCCATCTTACTCTCTCCTCTCCTGTTCCCAGTTTATTATTATGCTCTATTTTAATTGAACATTATATACAGAAGATTAACTCTATTCTGGGTAATGGGTTCAACACTTTGCATAATGGAGAAAAAGAAAATAAGGAAAAAAAGTTAAAAATAATCCAATCAAACAAAACCAAAAAAACCTAAACAACAAGAAACATAAAAAAAACAAGAACAAAAGCTGTGCCTCAACAGTCCAAACAAGGGCTCCCCAAAGTCGCTGCATCTGGATGGTAATTTGCTTTTTTTTTTTTTTAAACTTAATAATCTTTAAACTGGAACACAAGAATGGTACAGCTTTTGTGACCACATAGATATAACTATAATTTGTGTGACATAAGAATATCTTCCACTTAATTCACTAAAATGATGTAATTCTTTGAGAACAAGTTTTACAATAATTCTTTAATACAACTCTTTGAGGACAGAGATCCTGCATGGGAATTTAATGCACTGTGACTCCTGTTGTTTATTTAAAAATCAACATTATTTATAATGTCAGTGATCACCCAAGGCTCTTGACATGAGCTGCCTAGGCTATGGAAGCCTTTTGGATCCACAAACTCCTTCATATTTTGAGAAGGCCATAGGCAAAGGGGAAGCTCTCTTATCCCTTCAGAACAAAGTACATCCTTCTTTGGTGGCAGCTTTTTTCCGCTGGGGCCTCACCCACAGAGATCCTTCATGTAGATCAATTTTTGCCACAGTGTCTTAGCTTTCCATGCCTGAAATGCTCCCCTGGGCTTTTCAGCTAGACCAAGTTAGCTTAAGGGTTGATTCTGAGGTGAGAGTGCTACTTAAGGCAATTGTCATTCTATGAGTCTGCTGTATGGACTGCTCCCCATGTTGGCGCATCCACTCCTTTTTAATTCTGCCTATTATTATTACCAAAGACTTATCCTACTTATATGATCACTTTAACACTTACTCCTATATATGTGCTCACTTTAACACTTAGAATGTATTTTTACCACTGGGCTTAAGGGGATTTAAAGTCCCATGGCAAGCTTTTAAGCTTTACCCTTAGAAGTAGGTCCATAGGAATGTATGCAGCACTATACAGCTTTACAGTTACAAACTTCATACTTTTCACAAACACAACTTTAGGGTCACAGTGATTCTTCTTCTGTGTCCACCATCTCACCCACACTCCCGACCCTCTTCCACTTCCCTCTCTTATTCTGACTCTTATTTCTAACTATATTCAATTAACTTTATACATATATGGTTAACTCTATGTTAAGTAAAGAGTTCACCAATTAGTATGAAGAATAAAAGGGTAAGTAAATTAAGATAAAATGAATGAAAAGGAGAAAAATGAAAATACAGAAAACGAAACTGTTCCTCAACAGTGAAGGTATGGGCTGCTCAAGTCATTGCTTTTCTTATTTTTTAATTTTTTAAATTTTTTTATTTTTTGACAGGCAGAGTGGACAGTGAGAGAGAGTGAGACAGAGAGAAAGGTCTTCCTTTTGCCATTGGTTCACCCTCCAATGGCCACTGTGGCTGGCGCGCTGCAGCTGGCGCACCGCGCTGATCCGATGGCAGGAGCCAAGTACTTATCCTGGTCTCCCATGGGGTGCAGGGCCCAAGGACTTGGGCCATCCTCCACTGCACTCCCTGGCCACAGCAGAGAGCTGGTCTGGAAGGTGCCCATTTCACTTCTACAGGTTGACTTTTAGGTGCCCTATTAGTTATCACAGGTCAGGGAGAACGTATGGTATTTGTCCCTTTGGGGCTGGATTATTTCACTAAATATGATGTTTTCCAGCTTCATCCATGTTGTCACAAATGACTGGATTTCAATATTTTAACTGCTGTGTGGTATTCCATGGTGTTCATATCTCATAATTTCTTTATCCAGTCTGTAGTTTACAGGCAATTAAGTTGATTCCATGTCATTGCTATTGTGAACTGAGCTGCAATAAACATGGGGGTACTGATAACTCTTTCATATGCTGATTTCATTGTGCTTGGGTAAATTAACAGGAGTGGGATGGCTGAGTCATATGGCAGGACTATATTCATGTTTCTGAGGTATCTATACTGTCTTCCATAGTGGGTTTACCTAACTTACATTCCACCAACAGTAGTTAATTAAGGGTACCTTTCCCCCTGTGATAGACTGCCAATCTTCTTAAGCATTTTCTTCAGTTCAGATTTAATATTTTTATTTAAAATGTTTGAATAAATTTTTAGCATTTTCAACATAGTTCATAGATACCATTCTAAGAATATAAAGAAATTCCCTTCCAGATTTAATATTTCTTTGTGATTCAATATTGGTAGTTTGCATGTCTTTAGGAAGTGATTCATTACTTCTACTCATATTTCTTTGTGATTCAGTCTAGGTAGTTGTATGTTTTAGGAACTGATGCATTACTTCTAGCTCATGGTCTTCTCTTGTATATCTTTGTCTGAAGTAGGTTTTCATAATGCTTTGTATTTTTGTGGTATCAGTTTCCATGTCTCATCTTTTATTTCTGATATCACTTATTTTAAGCTACTTTTAAAATTTTTGAGTAGGTTGGCTATAATTATCCTCTGCTGCATTTATAATTTTTGCATGAATTTTTTAATTTATTTCTACTTTCATCTCTGTGTCACTGTCTTTTTGCTTGCTTGCTATCTGTGCCTGTCCTTATCTGCATTCAGATATTTGTATATACAGAAAAAATGAAATGAGAAAGGTCTAGGTATAGTCTGTGCATCAACATGTATGTTATCTCTTGATGGACCATGATAGTTTTACTTTTTAAAAATGATTTATA